TCTGGAAATGGGTAATAGTGATGGTTGTACACCATGTGAATGTATTCAATGCCACTGAATTATACATTCAAAAATGGCTAAAATTGTACATTTAGAGTGCTTTCCCCTTACTAAATTCAAGTACAAATATCCTGAATGAGCTGCAAATGCTCTCAGTCTGAATTAGGGGTAAATCCAGAAACTGCCCAAGGCTAAAATACCAGATTTCCAACTGGCTCATTGTTACCAGAATAACCAAACTAAGTCATATTAAAAATACTGGACCACCCAGCAGGATACACAATACAAGAAAATTTTAGGAAGGTTTAGTAACCACTCATGTACCTTGACTAAAGTAATGACCCTTTGATATAATGTCCCATCTTCCACCCATGTGGCATAAGGCAATGAAGATGCTTGTGAGTGATTAAGAGTGTGCTGTGAAATTCAGTTGTGAAGTTTTAGATTCATATTTTTCCGCACTTTTTAAGACTTGGAAAATTAGATATTACAATTAGATTTTAAGAAGGATGGAAAGTCAGAATTTTGGATATAATCACATTATCTTGATTTGGGGAAATGGATAAGCTGGGTATTATCATCCATGTGTAAGTCAAAAAAGATCAGCTATTTTTCTGCCATTCAAATACATAGAACATTCATATTCGCATAAGACTCTTGCAAATGTGTCCCAAGAAACATGGAAAAAAGTCTTCATAGCAGCATTTTTGTAGTAGCTAAACATGGGAACCAACCAACCAGAATGCCTATCAACAAGAGAATGGCTATATTTTGAAATATTTGCCCAAAGTATTATACAGCTACATGCAACAATATGCATGATTCTTAAAAACTGAATGCTGAGTTTTAAGAAAGTGAGACTATACACTTTTTTATAAATCAAAAAACAGCAAACCTAAACAAGATGTTGTTTACAAATACACATATATGCTATAAAATTTTTTTTTTTTTTTTTTTGAGTTGGAGTCTCACTCTGTCACCCAGACTGGAGTGTGGTGGCCGCTCCCGGCCACCGCAGCCTCAACTGCTGGGCTCCGGCGATCCTTCCACCTCAGCCTTCCAAGTGGCCGGAATTACAGGCATGTGCTACCACGCCCGGCTGATTTTTTGATTTATTGTAGAGATGAGGTCTCGCTGCCCAGGCGGGTCTCGAACCCGCGGGCTCAGGCAATCCACTCACCTCAGCCTCCCAAAGTCGCGGGATTACAGGCTGAGCCACCGAGCCTGGCTGCTATAAAATTTATAATAATAAACCTGGGAATGATTAACGCAAAGTTCTGGGTTGGGAGAAACACAGGAAATGGCATAGAGGAAGAGCACAAAGAAAGATGCAACAGGATAGGTAACAATCTAGTTCTTTTTTCCTGTCCTCCTGTTTATTTTCTCTAGCAGCTTTATTGAGATATAATTCATACCATACAATGCATCCATTTAAATTGTACAATTCAATGGTTTTTAATGTAAGCACAGATATGTGCAGCCACCACCACAGTCAATTTTAGAACATTTCTGTGTTTTTGGTTCAAAAAGAAAGGCTGTATCCTTTTCTATCATTCCCCTACTTCCACCCCGCCCTCCCCCTCACTCCCTGGCGGAAGCCATGACAATCCAGGACTCAGCATGGCAACCGAATGAAGACACCCTTCTGGAAGGCAAAGCCCCAGAAGGATCCGTGTGCCAGAGTGCCTGAAAAGAAACTCTGGTCACGACTCTTTATTCCTGCGCCTCATCACGCCTCCTTCTCGGGTCCCCATGAACCCCCCGGAGCTGGTCTCCGGCAACTCCCCTCACTTCCCCTAGCACCCCACCCTCTCCCCTTCCGCCACCCCAGCCCTAAGCAGCAACTAATCTACTTTCTGTCTCTATAGATTTTCTAGTTTGGGACATTTTCACATCAACGGAAACATAATATGTGGTCTTTTGTGACTAGCTTCTTTGAACATGTTTCCAAAGATCATCCACGTGGTAGCATGTGCCAGCGCTTCATTCCTTTTTATGGCTGAATAATATCCTATTGTTTGGATATATTACATTGTATTCGTTCAGCAGTTGATGGACGTTTGGGTTGTTTCCACCTCTTGGCTATTATCATGCATGTTGCTGCCATAAACATTTGTGTACAGGTTTTTGTGTGGACATATGTTTTAATTTCTACTAGGTATACACTTACAGTGGATTTCCTAGGTCATATGGTAACTCTATGTTTAACTGGAAGAATTGCCAGGCTGTTTTCCAAAGTGGAGACATTATTTTATATCACCCCCAATGTATGAGGGCTCCAATTCCTTCACCCCCTCACTAGCACTTGTTATCATCTGACTTTTTGATTACAGCCATGCTAATGAGTGTGAAGTGATGTCTCATTGTGGTTTTGATTTGTGTTTCCCTGATGAATAATAATGTTAAGCATCTTTTCTAGGTCTTATTGATCATCTGTATATCTTCTTTGGCTAAATATCTATTCAGATCCTTTGGCCGTTAAAATTTTTTTTTCTTTTATTATTGAGCTGTAAGAGTTCTTTACATATTATGGGTACAAGTTTCTTAAGATTTCTAAATATTATCTCCCATTCTGTGAGTTATCTTTTCCCAATTATCTGGTTCTTAAGCCCTAGTTTCTAAACCTAGTGATAGGTTCACAGGCGTTCAATTCAATATGATGTTTTTAACTTACACAGACTTAGCATATTATTTTGATGTATAAAATATGTAATGAATTTTTTAAAAACTTCATGCATAAGAACGTCTGTTAGGAAGTATTCAAAACAAAATAAAACACCATTAATGTCCAATATAAGTTAATGCTATTCTTTTTTTTTTTGAGTTGGAGTCTCACTCTGTTGCCCCGACAGGAGTGCAGTGGCACGCTCCCGGCCACCGCAGCCTCGACCTGCTGGGCTCCGGCGATCCTTCCACCTCAGCCTTCCGAGTAGCTGGAACT